CTGTGGGATTTCAAGGAAATCCATGTTTTGGGTGGAGAGGCATGGGCATCTATTGAAACCCTTCTTCTTTTACATTGAGGTTCTTATTTTGAGCTTTGCATTTACTGAAGGTTTATCAGGTGGCAGGAAAAGAGGAGGGCCTCATTGCAGATCAATTGAGGAAACCATGCCTCTGAGATTGCAAGACTTGAGCAAAGCTGTTGATGACTAGGTCTTAAGGAAGTCTCTCATCGTCGGTTTGCTGTAAGTTAAAGTTTACTTATCACCTACAGATCCACAAGAATACTGATCATGGAAGACTATCCTACTCGTCCAACGAGGGATCGCCTAAAAAAAAATCAGCAAATAACAAAACAGTGTAAAGCTATGGAGTGGTTGATAGAAAAACCTGGAATGTTTAACCCTCCTTAATATTTACTAGTAAGTGGGAACAAGATTTGGGTGTTGAGTTACTGATCTCACCATTGCCATAAGAGTGGATGCAATGAATGTTCAGCTGTATATTAATTTTCAAACTTAAAGAGTTTTCTTGAAAGTTAACATACAGCTGAATGTTCACTGAATATTTTAAATCAAAGCAATTCAAAGATTATAAAGAAATTGTTGGGTTTTTTTTTCATTATAGCTGCCAACTGGATGTTGTAAACTATAGGGAAAAGGCACCAGAAAGGAGCCATTTATGGTTATTGAAAATTTCCTGAACATCCAGATTAACAAATTGCGTTAGCCTTAAACTCATGTACATCTACAATGAGGTTTCTTCAAGATGGAGCCCAAGGCAAAACATGTACATAATTTGTTACCTTATAGACATAGCTGGAAAGCAGTTTTATAAACATTATTTTTATTAATTTTATTACGTTTGTGTACAGTGAAACCAGAAAGCAAAGCTGTCACTATCTCTGCCATCCCAATGGACCATTTTTGATCTTGGAGTATTTGTGAATTCACCACTTGAATTAATATTCTCAATTGTTTGTCTACTATGAAGGCATGAGTGGCATTGTGGATCAATTGTCTGATAAAGACTTCTGACACTTCCAGAAACCCTCAGTAGGTGACTTTGAGGCAGACACTATCTCAGTGTAACCTACTTTAAAGCACTATTATGAGGCTAAAATGCACATTTTGGTAAGAACCAACATTGATCAGGGCAAGATGTACATTTTAAGTTTGATTTTAAATGGAGCTGATTTTCAGAATAATAGTAAATGTAGAATGTGGGAAATGTATGACATTGTTTTTGAAGACATTCCAGGTACTGGTTTTTCTTTGGTCACTTGATATGTCTGTTCATTGGAGCCAGATTGAATTGCTGAGAACAAGATATTTAAAGTAGAATGTTTCTGTCAGACTCTAATGAAGTCTGTGACTGAGCTAGTGTCCTTTCGTAAGAGGGGGATTCACAGATGTGAATCTGATAGAGAAACTGGTCCTCCGAACACTTCTATTTATATCTATTTATACATGTTCTGTAAAAAATTGTCACAAACTTTGAGATGTTATACATAATGAAGGAAGAAATTTTTATGAAGGAGATAGTGGGGCTTCCCTCTCCTGACTAAGTTGTATGGGGCTTCCAGAGGGGGCAAAGTTGAGAAATTTGGCCCCAATTGTCCAGATTAACCCCCAGTTGTAGATGCTGCCCTCTTTTGCTATAAAGGATTCACTGTCTTTCTAATAAATCCTTGCTCTTCTAGCATGTAATTATGGGTGGGGAATCATCAGCAAATTGCATTAGACTGAAAGTACAAAGAACCTGCAAAAGTACAAAGACCCTGCAAAAATATGCTTCACTTTCATCACTATTTCCCCCTTTTTTGTAATGCTTTGCATGATACAACCATCCTCTTCAGATACTCTATTGTTCAATTATGGTTTGATTGTAATTCTTTTAGATCCTATAATTGTGTTTGAGTTGCTGTCTTTTTAAAAGAAAAGATTGAACTAAAATTGTCAGGGAGGCATTGGACAGTGTATTTAATGTGTCTGTCATTATATGTTAACCTCTCATCTGGGAAACAAGGCACCCCTTTTGTGCTTGATAACAATTTTAAAATATATTTCTTGACATCACGTATAAAGGAATAAGGGAGGGATAAAGGCAGAAGTGAATTAATGATGTTAGCAAATACCACTCCCTGTATTTCTATTCCATTTAGAATACAGCTTTCAAAATTGTAGCCCTCTGGAGCACCATTGCCAGTGACAGGTAGTCACAATCTTATTGTATTCTGATTGAAGCTACACTGTGAAAGAAATACTATATGGAGCCAAAAATGGGAATGCTTACTTATCCTTGTTTTTGAGCAGATCTGTGAATTCCGTTGCCGAGTTTCTGATGCATGTTATTACTTCTTTTGAGAGTGAAGGAATCAAGGACGAATCTTCAGGTCTCTAGAGTGTGAGTGAATTCAGATACTCATAAGGCAGTCACACACAAGTACATTATTTTCACCATGAATATGGAAATGGATATTGTCCTGATGGTTACATTGAATTTGGATGAATACACTAAGGCCCAGCTCAGGCCAGACAGGAGTTAGTTTGGAAGTACAACCTGAGTTGCATGGAGTTTCCCTTAGAAAGTATAGAAAGTGCAAATTCAACAATCAGCATTTTTTTACCTGACCTTTGTTCCTCAGGTTTGATTGTTGGCTTTTTGAGTTTATTTTAATATTTCTTCAGGGAAACTGGCATTTTAAAAATGGATGGTTTCAGTCTGGTTTTTAAAAATATGTTTAGTTGATCATTATTGACATGGGAGTCCTGGAAAACTGGGAGGTGATTTTAATAAAATAGGTACTAATAAACAGAATGCTACATGCAGAGCAAGGCTACGGTATTGGCGGAAGGACCTTTCAGTCAAATAAAGTTCTTTAAAACAAGTAAGTTGGAAGCAAAATCTTGAATGTTTTGAGGAAAATAGTAGGCAGATGTTGGCCACTGTTTTTGCATGCCTGAACTTGATGGAAACATTTATGTTATGTGTGTACTATGTTCATTCACTAACACCTCCAGCAGGGCAGCAGAGGTCCCCCTCTTCTCCAATATGTTAGACAACAGAGTGGCAACTAGTTGAATGTTTCGTGTTTGATGGAGATCTAGCCTAGCCAGCATAAAGGACCTTCCTACATAATGCAGCTATGCCCCTTCCTAGAATTGGAGAACCTAAAGATAGTAGTGCACATGTTGGTAACCTCAAGGTTGGACTTCTGCAATGTGCTTTACATTGTATCTTTATACCAAGTTTGGAAACTCCAAATTAGTTCAAAACACGGCAGCCAGATGGGTTACTGGAACATCTAGGAGCGAATATATCACTCCTGTACTAAATTTACTCCACTGGTTGCCAATTAGTTTCCAGGCAAAGTACAAAGTATTTGTTTTGAACTTTAAAGCCCATGGTTGAGCCGGCTACTGCAGCCAACTAACAGTCACCCAGAGAACCTCATCAGTTGCCCCAAGATTGTGGAACAGCCTGCCAGAAGAGATCCAACAGCTAATGAGCTGTTGGAATTTAAAACACAACTGAAGACCTATTTCTTTCAGCAGGCCTGCCCAGTCAGATTTAATTATGACTTAAATCACATTCTATGTTTATGATGTTTTAACTTTTATCTCAAGTATATGTTTTAAAATAGGCTTTTATGGTTGTATTTTATCTATGTTTTAATATGTGGTTTTATAGTTGTTGTGTTGTGTCCTGCCTTGAGCCAAAAGGAAAGATGGGTTGTTATTATTATTATTATTATTACAGCAGAGAATATTCTTATCCCTGCTGCTTTCTCTGAAATTATACTTTTTCCCCTTAGTAAAAAAAATAGGGTATCTAAAATTTTGTACACATTTACTGTTATTGGCCTGCTCTGCACAGTTCTGTTTTGCTTGTCATCTTCCTTTTACACATGTTATGTATCTTAATTTCCTTAATTTCCTTTATCCAATTTGTTGTCAATCCAGTTTTGGGCTTCACGCAAAGCTACCATTTGTCAACATATATGATCCTGTGCTATTCTTTTCCATTTCTGGCTGAATAGCTTAAACTCGGGCAATATTTTATCTTTGGTACCATAGCAGCTAAATTTTATCTGAATTAAACACCCCAAAAATAAAAGGGGGGAGAGCGATATTACACTCCAGACTAATATTCCTTTTTGTTCAATGTAGACATTGTTTATGTCTCCAAAGATCCACTCAGATTATTTTCAACATTCCACTAGCAGATCATTTTAGCAACAATACAGCATATAGTTTAACTTGCTTACTGGTCCCATCCAGTCATAGGTTCAGTCCACAAGGCGTTGGCTCTATTTACAGTTGGGAATTGTAGTATATTGCTAATTGACTTATGTAAAGCTACTACCTGGTGTCATCTTTCCATGTGTATTATTGATTTGATGACAGAACCACATATGGACTTAGCTAATGAATTACCCTGTGTGAGTGACAGAGACTGTGAGGAAGAACAGTCTGTTTGCCTGTAATTGTGATTCTTCAAGGGGTTGTCTATGAATTCACACAGCTTGCCCTTCTTCTCCCTCTTTATATTTGGCATTTCTTATGGTGGATTAAGTAGTCAAATAGCTCAAATGGGTTATCATCCAAAGTTCTTTACATCTAGAGATCCATATAAAGCTGCATATGGGTTTTGGACCCATTGTGTGAGCTCACGGGTGGCCACTTGGAGTATCATCGGTAAAAATTAGTTGTCTTTTAGTTCTGATTCCTAATTGCTTAACAATAATAGTCACAAAAGACTGCCTGCTCACCCTTAAATATTATACTGTTTAAATGAAAAGAGCTTGATGTGAACAAGATGGATTGTAGTGGGAAGGGACTGTGAGTTCAGTTCCGATATATACTCTGGTCTCAGAATCTTTTCAAAGTTATGCTTGGTTCTCAAAGTTTTTGGGGGGCGGGGGCAGAAGTAGATCTTAAATGCCTGAAGTCTGTATATTATGTGGGAAAAATTGTTATTCTTATGTTTGCTCTTCCAGGTAACAGAAAAAAAAGGAAAGGAAGGAAAGGGTGGCTTTGGAGGCCCAGTTGTCAGCTCTCTGTATCAAGAAGAAACCATCAGGTGAATCTGAGTGATGTTTTTATGGCTTAATTTTCATTTAGCTTTTATTTAGAACATCAACATGTATGGTAGTGCCTCTCGAACCAGATAATAAATGGCAGGAAAGAACTTTCTAGGCCTATAATTGTTTAAATCAATAGCTGTCTGTATTGCTGCCAGGTACTAATTTTCCCCCAGTTTGAGATATCTGGGGTGGGTCTTGGCCTATTGAACGTGGTGGGGTTTACCTCTGAATAAACATATAGGATGTAGTGTGATTTTTTCTTCTTCAAAGAAGTGCTGTTTAACAGCTGACTCTTTAAGCTTTAAACATTGTTGGTCAAAGGAAGTAAAGTTGGCATGTTTTTTTAAAATTATAGTGTAAAAAGTAAGGTTACTAATTGAGGTCAGGTTTTGAAATAAAAAGATAAAAGGAAATTAACCTGGAAAATGTATGATGATACTGCATGAAACATGTGGTTAAATCAAGGAAGACAGGAAATAGAAAATGTAAAGAGATCTTGTGTAAGTGTCAGATTAAAAAAGCAGACGTTTTCGTCACCTAGTGGGTAACTGGCATCATTTGAGTTAACAAAGGAGATTAAAAATTACTAGGGAATAGGACCAGAAGAGGGTATGCATGCCATCTACTCATATGCCACAAACAGCAATGCTAATCTGGAGTGGGATCCTTTGAATCAGCATTGCTATGGCCCTTCTGGCCAGTCACTGAACCAGTTTAGGGGCTTGCAGGTATCTCCACAGCTCAGCAGTGTCTAAACCAGTTTGGTGCCGCTGGAGTGCCACCCTTAGCTTGCCCCCATCTAAAACGTATCCTAAAATATGTGAAGAATTATTGATTCCTTGCAAACATTTTGTTCGTGGCAATATGGTTGAGTATGTGGTTGCTGACCGGCACCAGCCATCCTTGGAAGAAACATATTTCCCAGATATAATTCAAGACTGCGTTTGAATTCTAAAACTCCTTTACTTGTCCAGTGAGATCAGCAGTAGAGTTTTCATTGTTGGTGATCTGGGAGTTTGAAGTAAAAAGGCCCCTCTAGTGCATTTTCTCCAGTGCTGCACACAACCGACTTTGTCTTGCCAGCATGGAGTTAACAGTTGTATTGGTGTGATTCTTCCTCCTCACCCCCCCCCCCCCCCCCCCCCCCCCCGCACCCCCTTGCCTGAAGCCCAAAAATATAGTGTCAGTATACACACAACAGCTTCAGCTTACAGGAGGGAATTGACAGTGGCAATGAATCTTTCTGCCTCTCTCTGTCTCTGTACCCTGAAGTTGATGTGTGAACAGTATATGAGTGCAACCTCATAGAGTGGAGGCTTACTCTATTTTAGAAGTCTGAAGAAGGCCAGTCTGAACAATTATTTCTGAAATAAGCTCTGAGGTCTTCTTTACCTACCTGTCACTTTTCCGATATAAGTTTGAAAATTAACATTTCTTTGGCAGTGAAGTCTGCAATAGTACAGCAGTGGAGAAACCTTCAAATAACACTGCCCCTTTAAAAATAAGAAAAGCATTGATCTCCTTCAAGTTTTGAATAGCTTTATAAAGATCTCAGAGATTTTATTTACTTAGACACCATGTATATGTTTTGCAGACTAGAAGATCGATAAATATCTCCTTAAATACAGATCAATATTCTTCTAATAATTTAAACACACAGTAATATTGTGAGCAAGAATAACTATTGAAGACAATAATATGAATAATGAAGCATGGGTGCAATTGTTTTTAAAATCTTTATTACAAAGTTCCATTTATTTGCACAGCTTTTTTTATTTCCCTAGGATTCTAATATACTGTAAATGTTAAAAATAGAGGGTAATGGAAAATGACAGGAAGAAATGTACATAGGACACACCAGTGATTTACTAAAGCACTTGCCATTTTATGTCTGGACTGGCATTCGGTTTTAGAAGTTGGATGAAAAATATTTCATTTAGGCATGTCTGGAATGACGTTGAAACCATATCCTCAGTGAACTTTCCTCAAGTTAGAAGATTTTTCATTCAGTCAGCAATAGGAGAGTTCCTCCACAGCTAGAGAGGGAACATATAGCTCTGCCATCTGATACTCAAGAAGATGTATTATTACTAGATTAATAATTTACCTTCATAATAAACCAATCATATCTTGATAATTTTAATGAAGGTGCTTCTACCTGTATCTAGCTGTCTACCTCCAGTTGTTGGGGCTCCTCTAGCAATGAAACAGCAACAGTGGCGCTCTCAGAAATAACAATGAATATGTATAATATGTATAATTTTCTGCACCAAAAAGAAGTGAACTTGAATACATATTATCTATGCTTTTTGTTTGCTTGATTTAGGTATACTGGGTGTAGCTGGTGGTGCAGGCTTACCTGCTTTCCCTTTTTTCCCTCCATTTTTCTCTGCATACATGGTTGATAGAAAATTCTGGATGCACCTGCTGTTTATCTTAGCTGTTGAAGGCAGGCAGACATGGCTGCAACCAGATCGGCTAGACCAGAGCTTTCCAAACTGTATCGTGTCACATTAGTGTGTTAACTGCAGTGTGTAGGTGTGTCATGTGAATGTAACAAGAAACCTCTGAACCCTTGTGAAATAAGCAATAAAGAATATATATATATACACGAGGGGTATTTTTTTAAGTAAAGTCCGTTTGAACATAAGTACACAACGAAAGTTTATTTCAAAAAAGTAAATTTATTTTCA